CTGCTGCACATTTCACAGTGAGTCAGGCACCACTCCACTTTCTCCTCAACTCTTGACTGCCTCTGGCTCACTGATCCTTGCTCAGCTCAGATGTGATTCTCTCAAGTCAGTGAATTAGCAGAGGATCCCAAGAGCACAGCCTTCCCTGCAGCACGCTTTACCTGCATCGCTTGTGCCGTGTCAAGGCACAGAACCCCTCACTTTAATGCTGAGCAAGATCGACTTTATCCAAGAGAGTGTAACAAAAACACTGGTCACCAGCATGGGATTCCCCTTGCAACTTTTCTTGCCACAACCCAGAAAATTTTATATTCAGATGTTTATTACAAGTTGCCATTCACAGTTTTTTCCTGTGGATGACAGAACATTACCCTGTCCCTCCTATAACTTACAACAGTAGTTATTTGAAAAAGTTATACGTTTGTATTTATTTATGTAAAAACAGTGATACCATGGCTGTGTATCTCAATGCCTTCTGTATAAAGCATACCCACGTCACACTACAGTTTCATTCCACTTGCACATCTAGAAAACTTACTACTTGACAAGGATTACTTAAACCTGAACTCTTGTACATGAGCCATCAGCTTCAGATGTAAAAGCCAGTCCCACTTTCACACATGGACAAAATAACACATTTTTCAATGGGATTGCAGAAGTCTAGGAGCATAGCTAGATACAAACTGGTTCAATGTTTTTGTGTCCCTTTGCCTGTTTCAGAGGTTACTAACCTGATGAAAGCTCCCTCATCCTGAGGTCATGTCCTCCAACACCATCAGTAAAAACATGTCTGCCCCAGACAGTAATTAATTATGTTGGCCTAAAGCAGCATGTTGAAGAGCAAGCTTGCACAGACCTAGACAATGATCAAACATCTTCAGATACAGGTGGGAATCTTGCCACTCTGACACTTGGCTGTAGAAATCTCCAGGGAGAGGCTGCCTCTTCTAAGAAGTATGGCTTGTTACCTAGATTACACACCACTTCTGAAGAACGACCGGATCTCGGAACAACTCGGAG